TTTTGGATTATTTTGGGGGGCTGCTTTGATCATAAGCAGTGAGAGCTGGGAAGCTTCTTTTGGCTCTGGGTTTGTTGTGAGGGCCTTATAGGATATAAAACTCTAGGTTTATATCATGTCGTGTGTATTTCTTACTGTCAGCTTATAAACATCAATAAGTAAAAGTCTTTTTCTTAGCCATGTGCCCAGGCAGTCCCTGTTAGGAGTTGGCGTCCGCAAAGCCAGTCCGTTGAGGTGTTAGGGATGTTTGGGAAGCACTGTGGTGCTTCCGTACATTTGCAGGGAAGGGAGGTATCTGATTCTAAGTGGAGTTGATGCTCAGGTTTGTATCCAGCCCTGAGACAGGAAGCAGCAGCCTGTAGTAGAAGCCCAGAGCCACTACTATTAAAAGGCGAAAGATGATCCTAAAAACAGGATTGCTCCAGGTCTGAAGTGTTGCTAAATTTAAAACCTCAACAGCTTTTAACTGTCTTCCCTATTTCATTGTGTTGTTTTTTTTAACTTGCCACAATGGTAGAAAAATCTTTTGCTGAGATGATTTGATGATTTTTGTTCTATGTTGTTTATAAAGGAAATATACATAATTCAAATTTTGTGACTTTGTGAAGGTTTCTTTAAGATGTGCATTCTTTTCTGCTTGCTCTAGTAAATGTTTTACTACTGGGACCTGTGGATTGTCTGTCATTTCTACCTCAGGAGTCAGAACATGCTAAATAGGATTTAGAACAGTGCAGCACCTAAGTTAGCACTTAATGGGAAGGCAGAAAAAACATCTATAATCATGGTTTTATTTAAATGTCAATGGAAGAGGATGGAGAGACCTCAGAGGTCCAGAAATAGACTAGAGTGAATGCCACCTCAACACTCGAGTTCCCTTTTATGATTTAAAAAAGTACCCTGTCTTCTTCATGGAAGGGTTGTGGAGTCCAACAGGGCACTTCGGCAGTGCTTTCACAAGAGGCAGATTTCTCAGCACTGTGAGCGTTCTAGGTACCCCACACCTCACTGTCTTTTCAGATGACTGATGCAAGCAGGGTGCAGCTGGTAACGGAGGCTGGAGTAAACTGCAGTCGCTTCTCCATACGCTGCCTTCTCAGAGGCCCTGGTGGCTCTGCTTACTTCCGCCTGTTTTTCTTCTTCTGCTCCTTCCGTTGCTGTGCTCTTTGGTCCTTCTTCATCCTTGAGTCCACCACTTTGAAATGACCTCTGACTCCAGCTGGCCGGCGCACCTTGCGGCCCACACCTTTTTTGGCTACGACATAGGTGACCTGGCGTTTCTCCTTGCCAAGCCCAGCCTTCTTGTAGAGACTGTAAATGGAAGAAACAGTTAGCTTTCTGGCACTTTTTAACCCCTTTGTATCTTCGTGGGTGACCTCCCCCAATTACCTTCGAAGCTGTGCCACTTTCTCTCGTTCTGAGATGTCCACCGTGTTCACCACAGCTTCTGCTTTCTTCTTGGTTTGTTCCAGCTTCTTCAGCATCTGTGTGAGGCCCTCAGTCAG